CCGTGAGACAATGATATTCCTGAAATGCCCTTATCCATCAACACAGCCTGTGTGATTTTGATAGGCGGACTGACAGGTGTTAGCCGGTGGCCCTGCTTGCCCCTTAAGTCATAGTTGCATTATTGTTTCCTTGCTCTTGAGACAGAATGATATTCTGAACGACAGTTGCAAATGCTTGAAGTATATCCGTTATTAAGTTATGCATATTTATCTGCTTGTGACTTCCGACAGGTACGAGCATATTCAGTCTTATGCTTATGTGGCACGTGTTAGTGCTTATTTTTTTCCAGCTGACATCTGACTGTTCATTTCGATTATGCACCACGCACTTTATAATACGGGTGGTGTTCGGATTCAGTGGTTTTTCACAGAGGACTGTGATCGATCTACCGCGTTAAAACATTGGAATGATTGCCTTCTTCAAAGCAGAACAAACTAATAATTATTATCACTTATTTGTTTTGTCTTAATCAGAATCAGTGCTACGTTGTTGTACTGTTATGCAGAATCTCGGACGATATTCTTTCGTAATCTACAGTAGTGTCGGTTGCCGCTAACAGTTTCGAAAACATTTTGGTAACTTTGGAATATTTGTTTCAGTATAAAGCTGTTATTGGATTTCTTCATCACTGTCGGCATACCTATTTTATCGGTTACCGTTTTCGTCGACCAATGTGGCATCTTGCTTCTTTCTGTTTTGATTTGCTGTTGCTGTTTCGTCTTATTTTCCTGCATCGAAGCCATGTACCTCGGGCGAGAATGTACACACTGGTCACAAGTATGGAACAGTATCTTACCAATAAGTCGACCTGTATTCGTAAGTTATTCTAGGTAAATCATGTTTTTTCTAACGATCATCATGTAAATAATGAAATTAACGTCTTTTTTTCTAGGGCATTTATGATAGTTAGCATATGCATTTGCATATTAGCGGTTGATTTCAAGCTTTTTCCTCGACGTCTTGCGAAAACCGAGTCGTTCGGTTTCAGTCTGATGGATGTCGGCGTCGGCATCATCATCTTTATGACTGGTGTCGTCTCCCATGCGGCGAGAGGGGTTACCGAAAGGTAAGGTTTTTGCATTTATCTCGATTTGTTGTTTACTTGAGCTGGATTGCCAATCTGTCAGTAAACGAACCGGCGAGTTTGTTGACGAATAGGTCTGTCTTTTGGGTGGCGTATTAACGAGCGGTTCTGCCGTTTGTAATTCAAAAGTTTTCAGACAGGGCCATTGCGTTAGCCACCACTGCTGGCGGCCCACCA